TCTTAAACAAAAGCTTGTTGTGTAGATGGTTGCAAAAATGGCGCCCAATCCAAAAAATTATAGCTACGTATCTGATGATGGTAGAAAAAGGAAACTTTCAGTGCTAATGAAGCGGGCTTGCGTCTAAATAATAATGGAAAACTCCAATTGTTATCGAATTCAGTTCGTCTGGAATTGACTCTCAAAATAGGCCAACTTTCGCAAAAATCAACCAAACTAAAAAAAATCTAGCTATTTAACTGATGGTGGTACAAAAACGAAACTTTTAGCACTTTTGAAACGGACTTCCTTCTTTGTAGTAACATACAATTTCCGTCCGTCTCCGTTTCAGTTCTTCCAAAATTGTCTCTTAAACAAAAGCTTGTTGTGTAGATGGTTGCAAAAATGGCGCCCAATCCAAAAAATTATAGCTACGTATCTGATGATGGTAGAAAAGGGAAACTTTCAGTGCTAATGAAGCGGGCTTGCGTCTAAATAATAATAGAAAACTCCAATTGTTATCGGATTCAGTTCGTCTGGAATTGACTCTCAAAATAGGCCAACTTTCGCAAAAATCAACCAAACTAAAAAAAATCGAGCTATTTAACTGATGGTGGTACAAAAACGAAACTTTTAGCACTTTTGAAACGGACTTCCTTCTTTCTAGTAACATAAAATTTCCGTCCGTCCCCATTTTCGTTCTTCCAAAATTGACTCTTAAACAAAAGCTTCTTGCGTAGATGTTTGCAAAAATGGCGCCCAATCCAAAAAATTATAGCTACGTATCTGATGATGGTAGAAAAACGAAACTTTCAGTGCTAATGAAGCGGGCTTGCATCTAAACAATGATGGAAAACTCCAATCTTTATCAGTTTCAGTTCGTCTGGAATTGACTCTAAAAATAGGCCAACTTTCGCAAAAATCACCCAAACTAAAAAAAATCCAGCTATTTAACTGATGATGGTACAAAAACGAAACGTTCAGCACTTATGAAACGGACTTGCGTCTTTCAAATAACACAAAATTTCCGTCCGTCCCCGTTTCAGTTCTTCCAAAATTGACTCCTAAACAAAAGCTTGTTGTGCAGATGTTTGCAAAAATGGCGCCGAATCCAAAAAATTATAGCTATGTATTTGATGATGATAGAAAAAGGAAACTTTCAGTGCTGATGAAGCGGGCTAGCATCTAAACAATGATAGAAGACTCCAACCTTTATTGGTTTCAGTTCGTCTGGAATTGTCTCTCAAAATAGGTCAACTTTTGCAAAAGTGAACCACGCTAAAAAAAATCTAGCTATTTAACTGATGGTGGTACAAAAACGAAACGTTCAGCACTTATGAAACGGACTTATATCTTTCCAATAATACAAAATTTCCGTCAGTCCCAGTTTCAGTTCTTCCAAAATTGACTATTAAACAAAAGCTTGTTGTGTAGATGGTTGCAAAAATGGCGCCCAATCCAAAAAATTATAGCTATGTATTTGATGATGGTAGAAAAAAGAAACTTTTAGTGCTGATGAAGCGGGCTTGCATTTAAACAATGATGGAAAACTTCAATTGTTATCGGTTTCAGTTCGTCTGGAAATAACTCTCAAAATAGGCCAACTTTCGCAAAAATCACCCAAACTAAAAAAAATCCAGCTATTTAACTGATGGTGGTACAAAAACGAAACGTTCAGCACTTATGAAACGGACTGGCGTCATTCAAATGACACAAAATTTCGGTCCGTCCCCGTTTCAGTTCTTCCAAAATTGCCTCTTAAACAGAAGCTTGTTGTGCAGATGGTTGCAAAAATGGCGCCCAATCCAAAAAATTATAGCTACGTATCTGATGATGGTAGAAAAAGGAAACTTTCAGTGCTGATGAAGCGGGCTTGCATCTAAACAATGATGGAAAACTCCAATCTTTATCAGTTTCAGTTCGTCTGGAATTGACTCTAAAAATTGGCCAACTTTCGCAAAAATCACCCAAACTAAAAAAAATCCAGCTATTTAACTGATGATGGTACAAAAACGAAATGTTCAGCACTTATGAAACGGACTTGCATCTTTCAAATAACACAACATTTCCGTCCGTCCTCGTTTCAGTTCTTCCAAAATTGACTCTTAAACAAAAGCTTGTTGTGCAGATGTTTGCAAAAATGGCGCCCAATCCAAACAACGATAGCTATGTATCTGATGATGGTAGAAAAAAGAAACTTTTAGTGCTGATGAAGCGGGCTTGCATCTAAACAATGATGGAAGACTCCAATCTTTATCGGTTTCAGTTCGTCTGGAATTGACTCTCAAAATAGGTCAACTTTCGCAAAAATAGACTAAACTGAAAAAAATCTTACCAATTACCTGATGGCGGTGCAAAAATGAAACTTTCAGCTCTCATAAAGCGGACTTTATGAGAGCTGCTAAGAGGATGTTTCCGATCCCCAATATTTGAAAATGTTGTTCCATTTTAAGCGGGTTTTCAACGGGCATAATCCTCAGAAGCCTCTTGGGCCGAAAGCTATGTTTTAAGCATTAAAAACAGCGGATGAAAAGAACGCAAATGTTACAGTAAAGAAGCCAACTATTGGATTTTTTAAAGAAATCATTGGAGCAGAATCGATGATCGCTTGAGTCTTTGAAAAATTCTGCTCAACTTTCAACTTCTAAGCACCCTAATCTAGGCAGAGCTTCATTTGTATCAAAATCGCTCCCAAGTGGTTCAAGTGCCGTAAAAAGTCACGTAGTAACTTTTTAATGTTCCGAATATTTGGCCAATGAGTAAACGCTGCTTGAGTAGGCTGCGGTGGGATGAATGAAAATAACTGTGCGTGAGAAGCTGCATTTTCACGCCTTGGAGTTACGCAACGCGTTTCCAGGAAAGGCGGCTCATCAGCAATTTCATCTGGATCAGAAAGTCCTCAATTGCATGTGCGAATCGTTTGTTTTAAATTACTTTTTACGCTATCAGACGCACATTCCGCATAAGTTAGCATTTTCAATTGAAGCCCCCCAAGTCGGAATACATAACCGAACATTTCCGGCAGTTAATATTAAAAGTGAAACTTTTGAACACCCAATAACAGTGGGGTTCGATACTGGCCGAAACGATAAGTCTTTGATATAAATATAAATGTAGGTCGATCGTACCCGCGCCGGTTCTTCATTTCCGAAATAGTGAGAGTGAAGAAGTGCAGCCGCTATTCCGATGTGGCCGTTGTCCCGTCGAAGGTGAACGTGCAAATTTCTTCCGAAGAAAGAAGAAAGTACGATCAGACGACAAATCTCGCGCTTTATGTGTGCTTAAGTGCGTGTTCAAACCCAGTAAGGATGAAGGTAAGAAAACGTGTTTTTTCTTAGTTTCTTAATAGAAAATGCGCGGTTTTTTTCTCCATTCGTTCATTCAATCCAAAGGGGAAGTTAAGGCGCAACTTGGGAGGAATTGGGTTTGGGACTGCAGTTAATGAAAAAACCATGAGCGGAATTTCAAAAAAAGCGGCCAGTTTTTGTAACTTGATAACTACAAATTTGACTGCAGGAATAAATCGAGAGATTAATGGCTCAGTGTTGAAAATTCTTCACCTTAAAGCGAAAGTGGGTGAAAAAAAGTGGATGAAATCAGGCTTTTCGGTCGTTAGTGCATTAATGCACTCGATGCGATCGAGAAAAAGTAATTTCTGGAGTAAAATGGAAAAAAACCGAAACTCGAAAAAACGAAAAAAAATTAAAGACACTTTTTATGGGGATACTTTCAAGCAAAATGCTGTTCGCCAATGCTTTACTTTGCCTTTCACTGTGATATGAAGAGTGTGAAGAAATCGGGCGCTCCAGCAGATATTAATCTAATTAATGTTACACAATACCGTCAAAAGCCCCTGATTAATCACTAATGAAGAGATTTTGAGTGTCCGAAAATTGTAAGCGAAAGGGATTTTTCGCGGCTTAAGCGGACAAATAATTTTTGGAATAAGAAAAATTTACTGCTTTCGGCAGGACTTGAACCTGCGACCTTCATTTGATTCAYTTTCAATTGAAAACGATATAACATCWRATGAAGAGTTTTTTMGCA